AATTCTTGCAAATTTAGAATGAAGTATCCAAGATCAGCTTAGTGATTTCAAATAAGGTAATATGATAAAAACAGTTACTTTAACAAAGTATAATGTGTAGTTTCAGAAAATATTCATACTTCCACCATGGAGGGAATTCGGAAAAGGACCCCCCCCCCTCATATCCCCAGGAACTTCCAATTTTCTTCCATATAAACTTTGTAATTTCCAATTCCCTTTCCCCATTTTCTGGAACTACACAATGTATTATATTAATTTTGTCTCTAAATAAGAAAAGCCAATATTATAACTTTACTGCTGAATTCCATTTGTTGGCTGATGTTCATGAATAAATCGATTCTTGTCTTCGCCAGAGTTTTCAGCCAGTGGAGAGATTTACGTTTGAAATAGCCCAACCAGATGATATTTCACTCAGGTAGGAATTACAGAATATGAGTGAAAATGGGGAGCACAGGTAGCGTGTGCCGCTAATGTGTCGCCTCTCACCAATGCAGCCCAGTTTTGAGTTTTGCTGGTCTCTGTGTCATATGTGAGTAGAGTTGTTTGTTGGTTCTCTCCTGTCCTTGGTGGGTTTTTCTCCGGGTTCTCTGGTTTTCCTCCCTCCTCAAAAATCAACTACTAAATTCCAATTCGATCTTTGGGCTTAGTTATGGCCTAGCTCAGTCTGTTGTGATTGTCCCACACTGTGATACAACAGCTAATAAACCTTAATAGATTTTAGATTTTTAATAGAGAGTTTTAGAATCTCACTTTGGCAAAGGTGTAAAGCAAAATGGGGGGGGACCCTGTCGGGGGGGGGGGGGACTCTTGACTGGAATTAAAAACCATCACTCAGTCAGGCCTATTGATTTTTTGATTTTTTTCATTTCAATCTCTTGATATTTCATAGTGATGACAACCTGTTATTGCACACTGAGTCAGCATTGAGAGCATTCCTTCTGAAGATTAATGTCTGTGATGCCCTGTTGAAAAACAATCCATCAGGTATGGGAACTGTTTGGCTGCCATATCTTGAAGCTGGTGAATGATAGCATAATAGCAAACCGTTTCTAGCAAACCCGAGAGGTTTCATTTTTCACTAAGCATAAACCAGCTGCAAATTATAGAATATTTCTCACAACTGAACTGCATATGTGAGTTGAGTTTGTTTGATGTGTTGTTCTCTCCATTGCCCAAGGGTTTTTCTCTGGGTTCTCTGGTTTTCCTCCCTCCATAAAAATCAACATAAGTTCATTGTTGTGTAAGTGTGTAAGTGGTAGTGCATGTGTAGTAAACCTCACAGAAAAGCCATAAAATTCATCATAAAAGAACAATTATCAAGGGAATGTCAAATGATCGCAAATGGGCAATTTGCATACACAGCTAAAAAGTCTATCCGAGGATTGGTGTGATAAAATGCACAAGTCATCATCTCATGATTGAAGATCTAGACTTAATCAAGGTTATATTGTATTTCATTTCAGAATGTACTTTTACGGTACTTGCATATACTAAAGAATCTGCCCATGTAGAACTTCAATCGGACAGCAAACATGAGGTGAGACACCCCCTATGAAAAACTAGTCAAAGACTGAGAACAAGCGCCACAAACGATAAATGATTCTGAAAATTTATGTCCATTATTTTCATTACAAGAAAGTGCAATGTCTGAATTACTAATTTGGTAGAGTTATGATGCCATGCATTAAAGCACTGTAGAGTCACAAGTATTTGAAATGTACTAAAAACATGGAAGCGAGGCTGGTAGGTCCTCCACAGCACAGCAATCATTATCTTACCATTTAATCAAACTGTAATTCTCTGTGAAAGACATTTTGGTATATGAGTTGTTCATCATCTATAAATCTTGTGCAGGAGTTTCCTTGGATACCAGCTGAACAAGAGAGCACTTCAATGAGTGATTTCAACATAATTCCATTAAAGTCTATGACATCACCAATCCTAAAGGTATTGCTTACTGTCAATCATGTAACTTTTTGGAGTTGACTGAGGGGCCATTAATATGCAATAAGCAAATGTTAATGTCCATAATATACGGGTGTGTTTCTGGACCTGATCCCTGGTGGCTAGCAATTGGTGGTTAGCAGTAAACCTGATGCTTAAGGTTACCAGAAGTGACGTCTATTGATAATAACYTATTACAGATAGTATTAACAGGGCTTAGAGTTAGAGGTTAGGATCTTTTGTTAGCTGAAGATTACTTTAATTTGGTTCATCTATTGATTGTGTTTATAGATGCAGATGTATGTTGAAGAAAATGTTCAAAAGAAGAACAACCCATGAAAATGACTGGAGAGATATTGAACAGGACGCCATGAATGTCTGCAAAACGTAAGTGTGAATGAATGAATAGCATTTGAAGTAAAAATGGAATGATATGAATATTAGTACAAAATGGGAAAATGAGAAAGAAAGCCAAACAGAAAAAAAAACAGACTGAAAAAATATTGGAACAACATTAAGGTGCTGACACACGGTGCAACATTGCACACAACATTGCAAGCAACAAAWTTGAATCGGGGTGACACACATTGCAACAAAATCATGCAACATCGCTTGTGTCAGCCTGCTATGTTAAGATATATGGTCAGAAGTTGTAAATTTAGTGCAAGCTGATTGGCTGGAAATTTCAAAATGTTGCAGGTAATGTTGCAGCAATGTTCACATGATGAAATTTGTTGTGCGCAATGTTGCAAGAGTAGAGCACGATTCAACTTCAGATTTGTTGCATGCAACAAGTTTGGGGTAGACACATGCTGCAACAGTACGGTTTTGAGCAATGTTGCATGCAATTTTGAACTGTGTGTCAGCACCTTTAAGGTACAATTAGAGAGATGAAGAGTTTTTATACAACTTTCAAATAAGTAAATCTGGATTTCTTTTTGTAAGATTACAGAGCTCGCCAGAACCGAGTGGAAGCCATTAGTACCAGTGCCTCTCTTCAAGATATGTTCGACCATTGATGTCTAGAAGCTACAGAGAGGAGCATTCAGTCTAAAAGAATAGTGTTATACCATCTGTCAATTTATCTGGAAATTCACCTTAAAAAATAGATAAAATGAGATCAGTATTTCCTATGCTCTTGCGTCATAAAGTGCAGACATTGTAAAAGTGTTATGTGTGATATCATTACAATAATATTCTGGACCTTGATTAAAAATTGTACTAAAGAAAATTGTAAAAAATTAAAAATAAAAATAAAATTAAAAAATAAAATTTAAATTTAAAACTGTACTTGATTTTCTTTCTCAAAACAAAACGATMTAACAGTTTCCTGGGCTGCCTATCGAGTCAAGTGCAATGTCTTGTGCTTCGCAAAATAAGGAAAGCAAGAGCAATAACTACGAAGGGGGGAGAGGTTGGTGAGTCCTTGAAAAAAGGAACTTTATCTCTGTCTTCCACAGGCATCCCAGTAATAATAGATTTAGCTTATGTGTAAAATCACGTGTCATTCCTACGAAATAAGCTTTTTAGGTTGTAAGAGCAGTTTTCGTATGAGTGGAAAAGGGGGTGCCTTATACGTGCCTTGCTGCAACCGTGACGTTTTCTAGAATTTTGATTGAAGGATTTTTTCTCACGCAATGTGATTGGTCTGACAGTGCCGTGACGTTGGCGTGACCATGTCCGCGCAATGTTCTTTTCATGTTCCGGGCATTTGATTGGATGGAGAGTAAACTCTCGTGCAATGTGATAGAGCTATCGTATGCGTTGCTGTGTCACTACCGCGTTCATATCGTCAGTTTTTCACAGTCGTACGAAAACTGCTCTAAAGGCAGAGTCCGTGGTTTTAACTGGTTTGAGAGTGCGAAACAGCTTAAGATATGGCAATTCATATGGAGAAAGGACATTTAACTATCAAGTATTAGCTGGTTTAGCACTAGCATCAAATAAGGAAATAATACTAAAGGAAATTGTGATCTGAATTGAAAAACGTTACGCTAAATCGTAAGGAATAAATGAAGAATGTAATCTTTGTAATATATATTGTAATGATCGATGATTGCTGTTTGCGCATGCAGTAAAACATTTTAATATTTGTTTCATTCGAGGATTTGCCGTCGCATACATAATGTGCGGTTTTGTAGTTTTGTAACTCTATTTTTTGCGCAATTATAAGACTTGCATTCCGCATAGCAAAGCGCCGTCAATAGTAATTAATGCGCAAGTTCTTGTTCTTGGATAATGTTTGCTATGAAATGATGCCAAACTAGATATTTGTTGATAGCTATTAATGCCCAAGAAATTGCGCAACGTCGTCCTTCTATTGATACGCGCTGTCGAATGGAGTTATTGATGTTAAATATTGTCCGTCACTTTACTTGTAGCTATTAATACGCAGTTTCTTGTTCTTGGATAATGTCTTTGCTAAGAAATGATGCCAAACTAGATGTTCGTATAATCCATGTACAAATTCGCATGATTTCCTGGGAAGTGCATTCTTATTTGCTGTTTAACATGATAAGATCAACTGATGATATGCTTCCTAATGCATGGGAATTAGGAACTGCAGACCTTGTAATCGTTTGACACAGGCTGACCAGTAGGTATAGTAATAGATCACGTATCATTTCTCCAAAATAAGATTCGCAGTGAAATCAAAGCCTGTAGGGATTTATCGACGTCTATTGTGTTTCGTGTCCAAGAGGTCAAATACAGCGCTATTTGAAAATTTGCCGAGAAATGGTTGCTAAAAAGAATGTTCATCATATATTTGACACATGCGCAGTTTAGGCCGGACAAGTACATCCCACAAGTGTTAATTTGTCCTGGAACATTACCTTCTTGCCTGAAGCAAGTTTTTTTATTTTGAAGTCTATCATGTGATTCCTGATTTGGATAATCCAACAGGAGATGGATTTTGAAAGGTCTCTGTAGCTTGCAGCGAGAGGGATAGTGAGGCGTAATATTGTATGTGCAAGCCGTTAAGCTGTGCAAGCTGTTAGGTTGGTATTACACTGGTAGTTGAATCGGGAGCTTTCAGGGAGGTAGGAGGGGATGCGGAGGATCCTATATGGGTTTTCCGCTTCTCCAGAATACGAATGGAAGAATCTTGCTTGGTCCTCAACGCCTGAAAATGGATTGGTTCCTTGAGAGAAGAGTGTCCGTGTGCTAAAGGCGAGTTTCGTACAATATTGTAAAGGCTTGTACATGCGTAAAATGCGGTTTTATACAATTGTTGTACATCCCACATGGACAGTTGTGTTTAAAAGATAGAGAAGAGAGGCATCTGCATGGGGAGGTAGGAGGGGGACGATGGAGGCAGAGAAATTTGAGACAAAATTCGACTTCCAAACAAAGACATTCTAGAGTGTCTTCTATAAAACTTGAACACTTAGTATATATCCAAGATTCTTAATTAGTCTCTTAAAGGGTCGGATCAAAGGTACCCCCTTTGAAAGAATAAAAAATAAAAAATGTTTTG